AAATGCTAAAATCTATTAATCATCAATTTACATCAAATTAAATCAAATTAATTAATATAACGTGCATATTATTAATGTATCCTTCTCATATGAGCACAAAGATTTTTTGTAATGACAAGAACAAATCAGGTTGTAATATATGATTAATCATCCAACCCATAATTAAACAAAAAAACAACAATGGGTTATGGACTCATTACAGAAATGAAGAAATAAATCTTCTGACAATAATAAGTGTTTAACAGCATATTTGAGAAGACTGATGAGAATAGCTGGGCTCAGAGTATAATTGAGCAGTCCCATACAGTTAGATGGTGCTTGAAATGTGAATAGATGAGGTTGTATTGTGACAGTGTAATTGTACGGCGTCATATTAAGCATATGTCGAGGAAGTATAATGACAGGCTGACTGTGGCGTGCGCTCATCACCTCCATCTGCTCATCCATCTGCTTGACATCCAGATTCAAGAAAAAAACATCTCTTCTGAACAGCGATTCATTTGGGACCTTTGATTTGACCAGGTTTTGACAGCCCAATTGGATGTCTGAATTACCTGGGTGGAATTTTCAAGACTTCTAGGAAAATGATCCATCAACATAACAGGGTAATTCAAAGACTAAATATTGCATTAGATTAACCCACAATTTATGTTGTAAGACTCATTATAATCCATATATACAGGATGTCATTTTAGAAACATTCGATATACGTCTGTCATGTGGCACTGCTGCTGGCCACCACTGTTTGTGAGCATACGTCAATCCCGCTTCACCGAGTTTTTAGTCCCGCAGGAGGGTGTTAGGCCAGGTAGCAGATAGAGCTCCGCCACAGATTGGCCAAAAGACGTCACCATGAAGCTGAGAGAAAACAAAAACACAGTGAAGGGACATGAGAGCCTTCGTTTACATGATTTAATCATTTCAGACGTGAGACAAAAGTTTAGACTACAGATACAGAGGAAATCCGTCATGATTATGTGCCTCGAGTAGAAAAGTTTTGCTCCAATGTAAAATAAAAATGATGCTAGCATGAACAGCATCAGCTGTATATAGTTGAGAAAGAACGACGACTCTTGCTTTGATGCACAAACGTGGTCAAAGCAAACAGATCATCAGGTACATGTGTGCAACCTGCTTTATTCTCACTGGTAAGATGTTGTAACAAGTCAGAGAAGTCAAGTCTGACAAAAACAAAATGTGGCCCGGATAAATGATCTGCCGGTGTTCTGTCGAGTTGCGTCGCTTGTCGAGTTGAGCTGCCTCAGCTGTTTATGATGTAATGCAAACCTGCGCATTTCACGGCAGCCGAAGTAATCCAAGATGGCGGACATAAAGTCCGTGAGTTGTGTGAAAAGTTTAAATGCGAACAAATTAAGACAAGAATGTCACTTTTAATGCAATTTGAGGCGAGATGTTGATGTTTCCATGTCGTTATATCTGGGTTTTTAGAGTAAAAGTTTAGTGTAAAATTTGTTTGTAGTAACTGCTCCTGTGAAACCACGCTGCTGCTGTGTGATAGCAGTACCTTTCCTGTTGAGTTGAGCTGCGGCATACGTCCTTTTACTGACGTAAGCCGATGGCGTGTCTTGTGGATAAATCAACAGCTATTTCTGACATTTGTGTCTTAATTCGTTTGTATTTAAACTTTTTACACAACTCAGACTTTATGTCCGCCATCTTGGATTGCTTCGGCTGCCGTGAAAAGCACATGCGCAGGTTTGCATTACATCATAAACAGCTGAGGCAGCTCAACTCAACAAGCGGCGCAACCGCTGTTTCTTTGGAAAGAAAATGTGAATCAATTGGGCCATATCATATTTTCAACTTTTGAGTCCCATGAGCTCAACGATTTTTCAAAGTTTGAATACGATTGATGTGGGAAAAGGACAGGCTATCAATATTTCCTTGACAACAGTGTCTTGCATCCTTACAGTATTTTACCTTAATTCTCCTTTACAAAGGCACTGGTCGTGCCCTTTCCGCTTTATTGAAGAAGTGGCACCAGGCTAATTACAAGACTGTCTCCACGACTGTCAAGGGCTGTTTTTCACTTCACCCACACCCCGTCTGTCAGGCTAAATCAATGACACTCAATACACACAAGAGTGATAGAACCCTCTGTGACTCTCATAACATGCCGCTTAGTGTTACACCTGCCAATATGAACATTTTACTCCATAAAGAAAAACATAACCAGAGTCTTGCCAATCTCAGAAATAGCTTAATAGCTACTGCATTTAAGCTATCCTTTCAGATTAATTGGTCCATTTAGTCATCCGTACGTCAATACATGGCTATGCGGTCGTAAACCCTCCTCTAACATCCGCTGCTCTAACAGGACGAGAGGCTGTTTTCAATACACGAAGCGTGCACGGCCCTCCTGTGGCTCCGACCGACTCATTGTCCGAGCGTAATGGTTCCTAAGGGAAGTATAAAACAACCTCTCACAAAAGAAAAGCCAGGGCAAGAGTAGCGAAATGGACATCATTCTTGCATAATGAACTAAGCAATGGCTGGGACCAAACAGCGCAGTGTCAGTGAGAGGATTAAGAGACATTGTTGCTGATAAAGCCAGACATACTTGATCAATGCAGTGATTTCTCAACAGGAGCCACTTAGAGATACAATCAGGTATATGTGTGTTGTACTGCTGTGCCTGATTCAATTGTATGGTATCTGCAGGCCTAATTAAAGTATTTATACTAGTATAAGTCTAGAAAAAATACAGCGATATACGAGAAGAATACATTAAAGCATCAGATTTAGCCCATTTAAAAGCATTAGCATAAACTACATGGAAATTAGATTGAAAATCAACTGAGCATCTTTGAAGGTCTGACCTGTTGCAGAGCTATTATGCAAATAGATTTAATCTGTACACACAGCTTTATAAGAGGGAATGGTTTTATGGTTTTAACAACACTATCTGCACACAATAAAAAAATCAACCTGCTCTTTTTTCCAACAAATACATCTAAAGATTGGATTCAACTTTGAAATGTTGAATCATGTCTAATTTCACTCTAAAACCAGTTTGATTAAAAGATAAGATAAGATAAGATTGCTTTATTTATCTCACAGAGGAGAAATTTACATGTCACATTTGGCATGGATAGAGACACTCAGATTGTGCAAAGGGAGGAAATGTGACAATAATTATGTACAACAAAAGTGACAAGTGTCAATTGGAAACAGTGTCAATAGTAGTGCAGGTTTTCACACAGTGATCATTTAAAGTGACTTATTGTACAGTCTAACAGCAGTGGGGATAAAGGCCCTGCGGTAGCGCTCCTTCCTACACTGAGGGTGTCTCAGTCTTCCACTGAAGGAGCTCCTCAGCTCCTCTACAGTCCTGTGCAGTGGGTGGGAGGTATTGTTCATGATGGAGGTGGCTTTGGCTAGCACCCTCCTGTCCCTCACCTCCTCCACAGAGTCCAGGGAGCAGCCCAGAGTGGAGCTGGCCCTCCTGACCAGCTTGTTCAGTCTGTTTCTGTCCCGCTCTGTGCTGCCCGGGGCCCAGCACACGGCAGCGTAGTAAATGGCAGAAGCTACTACAGAGTCATAAAAAGTCCTGAGCAGAGGCCTGCTCACTCCGAAGGACCTCAGCCTCCTCAGAACAATCATTAGTCATGCCACCAACCAATGCATATTGGTTATTCTGACTGAAATATTAGTCATTATGACCAATCCAGCCACCCCTGACCATTCATACACACACCGGACTCATGCTAGGTTACATGGGTGAAGTGTCTTGCCCAAGGACACGACAACAGTTGGGCGCTATACAGCCACAGCTGTACCATTGTGGCTCCTGATCTTCCAAGATGTCGCCCATCCTAGTCCTAACCAGGCCCTGTCCTGCTTAGATTCTGAGGTCTGACAGCGTCAGGCATTCACATGCAGGTTATGGCACAATAGAAATATACAATACGTCAAGGTAAATAATATGCAGGTGCTGGAAGTGTTTTCAATCAAACTATTTTGGTCAGAGCGCCGTGGCAAGCTCTGTCATGGTGCAAACGTCTCACGAGAGACTGAAGCACTGGCACCCTGCAGTCTTCAAGTACAATTTTCAAAGCAAAATAATATGGCAAATAAAAAAGAAAAGAAAACAAATTGAATTTTGTCAGCGTTGCTTGTTCTGGGCAGTTCTTACCCTGATAAAACCCTTAAGATTTAATAGGTATGTTACTAATTCCATCTCCTCAATACTTTAAGAAAAATTTTACGGTGTGTACACAATGTAAAATGAATGTGATTAATGTGGGTACATTATTGATTATTTTTCAAATGTCATTGATATTTACTCAAATTAAAGGATGTTAATTTTAGGCTATACTGAATTCTGAGCACAGAGAACTCAAGGTCAGACACAACACTGATCTGAAACAAAACATTTACTTTACAATTTAAAGTTACACATCAATTCTTTTTTTACAAAGTGTAGCGTTAGTTGAAACCAGAAAGAAATATGTGTAAGACGCTCTGTCTTGTCCACATCACTTCAAAAGGGCAGTTAGTAAAACTCAAACTGACACAAGAAAATGGCATCAGTGTGAAGAACATTTCCATGGGCACATAACTGAGTAAAATATCTAATACCATGCTTTTTGTGAAGTGTTACTCAAAGGCCAAAGGGCTTTTCATCAAGGAAACTTCAACTTGACAGTCATCCTGAATATTTTAGCATACACGCGTTTAACCCACAGTTTCTCTCCAGAGAAGATCTTCTGCTACAATAATCTCTCTTTGCTTCAATGTTTTATGGACCTTCTGTCAGTAACACCACAAAAGCTTCCTGCTAAAGTGATACAACAATAAGCACCATTTTTTCCACTCAAGGAATACCCTTACGGCAGGTACACTTTTTTTATTTTTTTTATTGTCAAAGAATAGCACGATATGTTTAAGTGCTTTTTCCTGTTCGGTTTGATCTATATTTTCATGGACACAGAGAAGCCATTACTTTGCTCTCGTTGCGGCCTCTTGGATGTCTGAGCATGTTCCTTCCTCAAGGTGAAACTCGTAAGTACATCGAACATACAAAGATATAGAAGGATTATTAATGCCTCGTCTCACTCTGCATTACGACCATAAAAGCAACAAATATTTAGCATGGGGAAGCAATTTTGAAGCATAGAAATCAATTAGGAACACTTCGAGTAAATTACAAGGCAATTTATGAAGGGCATAAAGAGACACACAGCTTCTGCACAATGAGGCTCGTTCATGAATGTTTAAAAAGAACAGGCTTGTAACTTCCACTTTCAGAAGACACGCTGCGTCTGATACTACACAAGCTGGTCTTAGTTGCTTTCTAGAATATTTGATTTGTACATTGTTTTACTGATTTAATTCTATTCTATGTATTTATGTTTTTTTAACTGCTATGATAAAGGGACTGCAATAGTGCATGTGTAAAAAAAAAAAGTCAGAACACTAACTCTTTAGCTACTCAGTGTAAATCATAATATTATTGTCATTATTATTATCATCATTGAATTTATTATCATTATTCATTGTTATCAAGGACGTTATACAGTAAAAGGAAATATACAATATTGACATTAGAATGTTATTCAAGCTATAATTTTAGTAAATCACATGTGGCTAAAATATATTGTAGAAAGCTTGTATTGTTGAACTACTTTAGCTCCAGGAAGACTCCAGGAAGTCTGGGAGCTTGTATGTTAAACACATGGATGTATTATATTAACTGGATAGGGTATTACTAGCTTGTAGCTGAATAACTCACGTGCTCAGGGGATTCTCGCGGTACTGCAGACTGAACCAGACTAAATTCACGTGGGCTACCCAGAAATTTTTCCCATAGAACTCAATGCAAATTAAAACAGCTCGACCTCAGCTGACAGGGAACCTACAGCTTTCATAAAGATCGGATTTTGTGGGGATTTTAGTGTCCCTTGTCATCCTGAACTTTTTTTCTTCTTAAATCCTTCGGTTTTGTTTAAATCCACACTTTAGTGCCACAAACTCTACTCCTCTGGCTCTCGCTCTAACTCCCGCTCTGATGAACTGCTCTGATTGGTCAGAGCGCGGCCGAGCCCCTCTGTGCACGTGCGTGAGACCCGGTGTGAGACCCACACACGCGTGTTTGGCGCAACGCATTATGGGAGATCATCCACTGCGCAGAACCGGGAGGACCAGACGATGCCCAAATACAGGCGAGTTTCCCATAGATCTTTGCGAGTTTCAGGCAACTTCCGCTAATCTTTCAGTCCCCATGCTGTCACAAAGCGCCACTGAGCACAACCATTCATTTGAATAGGGCGCCATCTTGGATCGCCGGGGCTTGGTTAAACATCAGGAGGAAGCAGGCTTTGTGTACGCTAATACGGTGTCTTTTGTTGTGTTGGTTCTTCCTTTATTCTCTGCATATGAAGGTGTGTCTTGTACTGGAAGATTGTTCCAGATTCATGCTGCTAAAATCTGGAACAATCTTCCTGAAGATGTGAGACAGGCCTCCTCTCTGACAATTTTTAAAACCAGATTAAAGACAGTTCTGTTTAGCTGTGCATACAACTGAGGGATTTTATATTTTTATCTTTCCTTTTAATGTTCTGTGATTATTTATGATTGTAAGGCTATTTTGTTTTGTTCAGCACTTTGAGTTGCCTTGTGTATGAATTGTGCTATACAAATAAACTTGCCTTGCCTTACTATCAAAAGGACCAAGGAGACTGCTGAGCTTCAGACATGCTCTGGACGCTAGGCTGGGCTAAACTGTGCTCTCTTCTCTTCAGACATGTCTCCTTGGAAAGGCAACCAAGTATTAAAGAATGCCTGAACTATGTCTTTTGTTCATGTGATTTTGTCAGGATTGATTGTAAATTATAGCACTAAAAATAAATACAGTATATTGCCTATAATAAGAAATATATCTACATAAAAAGAAACCAATACAGATGCTGTATAGTATAGTCTCTTGATAATTGTGGAGTATAGTGAGATATGTGGACCATTAATAACACTGCATGAAAAGTGTGATTTTCGTCTCTTTTCGGCCCTGTATATTACAGGTGAAACATCTGGATTCGCAAGTTTGTTGTCCCCTCCTTACCTCCTCCCACAGGACGGCTTTAACAAGTAAAATTGGCCAATGCTGTGGAGCTATACAAATGCTAATCAGGGTTGAGGGGGAGCACACCGTAGACCCGGATTTTGTAAATGCTCAAACACACACACACACACACACACACACACACACACACACACATATTTGATCATGATTGATTATAGCTTGTCATGTCAAAATCAATTAAATAAATCTAATAGGACAAAAGACATGTTGAAAGTGTAAGTGCTCATCTCATGTATGTACAGTACAGACCAAAAGTTTGGATTTTTTATTTTTATTCATGACATGAAAGATGTGTTCTATTCTCGGTTCAAATTATATATATATATATATATATATATATATATATATATATATATATATATATATATATACTAGGGCTGTCAAACGATTCATTTTTTTTAGTTGATTAATCGCATAGTAATGGTGAGTTAACTCACGATTAATCGCATGTTTAACATTCTATTTCAAATCCACTCCAATTGAAGTTAAATGAGATTATCAAATATAATTACCAGTGTTGGGTAAGTTACTTTGAAAAAGTAATTAGTTATAGTTACTAGTTACTTCTACCAAAAAGTAATTGACTCACTAACTGAGTTACTCCACTATAAAAGTAACTAGTTAACAGTAAAAGTAACTATTGCGTTACTTTTTCGTTTGTCGTGGTACCGAGCTTTAGCTGGCTGTAATTTAGGATAACTTCAAAGTAGATTAATTGTTGCAACAACCCCACCCTATTTTAGTATGATATGTTAGTTTAGGGAACTGTCCTGCAGGCAAACAGGTATAAGACAGGCCAAGGTGCCATTTAATTAAATTGCATTTATTTTTATCCATTGATCAAACAAACAGATTACAAAACTTGCAATAGAAAGAGACTATTTTAAAATAATTAGTTCCCAAAGACACACACGAGCAACACTCACGCCTGACAGTCAAGAACCAGGGAGAATACAGTGCGCAGAGCGCGCCTGACAGACAAGAACCAGGGAAAATACAGTGCGCAGAGCGCTGAGTATGTGAACGGAGCAATCGCTTGCTGCTGTTATTATAATAGCTAGATCCATGCTTGCAGACCGTGCAAAGCTCGCACTCACTCACAGCCGCTAACAACAACCAGAGCGGCCACGGAGCAGGCCATCTCACACGCAGCATTCTGAGTGATATTCTTATGGATAAATGGGCGGGTATTTAAAAAAAATAACGCGTTAATAAAAAATGTAATTAACGTGAGTCAAAACGATAATTTTGACAGGTGCATTGCGTAAGTTAAAAAATGCCATAATGCAATATTTTGCATCTGTGGTCCATCAGCAGTTGCCTGGTGTGTAAACTGAGCATTAGCAGATTCACTGTGGTTGCTTCTGTGAGCGCATACAGTGATTGAGAAATCCCTGACTCTGGTCGCTTTCTCGCGCGCTGTTTAAGCGGAAGTGACGCAATGCGCGTGCCCGTTCACTGTTTTGGCTCCATATGTTCCCTCGCGTTCAGTGGATCTGTCCCGTCCTCGTATCACGCGTATTTGAAGATGGATCCAGCAGTTTCTCTAAGAGACCAGCTTCAGAATCACCGTCTGGAACTCCACGCCAAGCGAAGAGAAAAAAGATTGTCACTAGTGCTACGAAAAGAGCGAAGCGAGAGGCCGACCGGCGGAGAGCTCAGACCCGAGTCGCTCTCGGCCATGCGTTTGAGAAATGGAGAAGTCTCCGAAACGCTCTGGGGATAAAAAATGATCCTCATTTGGCGTTTATCTTGATTAGAAGGTAAGACGGTGACTCAGTTCTAAACGTCCTAGTGTCTTGCACCAATACGAAGAGATATAGCATTATTGTGTGTTAGCTTTTTGACTTAGCAACATGGACTGATTCCATTTGGTTCGGTTTTTTTCTGAACAGTAACAGATTGGCGAGACACATTCAGCATTTTTTTTGTTCTGTATGAAGAATGTCTAGAAATAATGACTGTTACGTTGATTAGTGCTTTTGAATGAACGTTAGCATCTGTTAGCTTAGTACAGCTGTGTACATTATTGGGCTGCTACTGTGCATGTAAACCATTATGAAACTTGCAGATGCAGTGATTATGTACCTCAGTACCTGTACTATATGTATCGTAGAATTGCAGACTATATTAGTAATATAATGTGGTTAGTCCAACTGGAATACAATGAGATGCATGTGTGTATAGGTAACGTGTATTTATTTACTTTATAGCTATGAAAAAATTATGGCATCAAGGAGTCCCAAGGCCTCAACTCCTAAAACCACTACTGCGACTGGTGATCTCCCGAGTTCAATCAGTCCCGTAGAATCTGACCGGTACTTTTTTTTCCCAGAAAAATGGGATTGGCATTATGTTTGATTCAAGCCTTATTGACAATTTCACTGAAACAAACTGTATTTTTTAACAGGGATGACTTATCTGTGGCAGGGGTGCAGCCTTTTAAAGAGGAGAAAGAGCTGGAGGTTTTGGAGAAAAGGTAGACATGCATTCACATTAAGATGTACATTGTATTCTCATTTCTAGGTCGTTTATTTATATGATTTATTGTTTTTTGTAGACATTCAGATCTTTGGTTAAACGAAAAACGGGCAAACAATCTAGAAGACAGTGTGTAAGTTACTTAACATGTTTAAAAAGAAATATTTTGTTGATTGTTTTAAAATATGACCTGTTTACTTTCACAGGATTGAGTTTGATGAAGATTTGGCCTCAGATCCATTAGATTCGGAATATGTCCCACCTATATCTTTGAGGTTTTTTTTTATTAAATGTTCTGTCCTGAAAATAATGGAAGTCCTTCCCTAATTGTTTTTTGAAAAAGCATCAAATTGTTCTTTTTTTCAGTGCTGGTGTTGCAATTCAAAGAGAAGTTGACAATCTTCCCATCCTCGGTATAGAAGAAGCTGTGTTGGACATCTGTGACCCAGAAAATCCCGGAGAACCAGAGGACTTTGAGGATCAGTCTGAGCAGGACATATCAACATTCCCAAAGCCAATTCGTGTGGTTGCTGAAACTGACCTAGTGCACCAACAAGCATGCATAGCGTATACTATTAGCTTGCTGCAAATGGCTAATTTTCTGCAACTGCCCATCAACAAATGCCATTACAGCGATCCGGTTTCTGGTATTGAGTGTGACGGTCGGCCTCCATTTTCGGTTCAATCACGTTCTAGGGGCACATCAATCATATTGGAATGGGTGAGTGAATGCTGAAATTAGAGATTGGTATTTAGGGTAGGCAAAATGTGTAGTTATACATTTAGTAAAAGTTATTTGTTTCTTTCTCCATAGTTCTGCTCTTATGGACACAAGTTATGGATGTGGAACAGTCAACCTGTACTTCGACATGGGATGCAAGGAGGCGATTTTATGTTATCTGCCAACTTATTACTGAGTGGGTAATAATTTTGCTAAGATTGCCCTCCTCTTCAAATTTATGAATATGAAGATGGTTTCAACGACAACTTATTACAAAATTCAACACTCCTACTGCGTACCTGAAATAAAGGCATTTTGGGAGCAGAAGAGGTTGTCTATTGTAACTCGATTAAAGTCAAAAGATGGCATTGTGGCCCTTGGTAAGTAATGTGTTAAAGGACAATCTTTGTCGTATTTGCAGTCACTATAAGTACTATATCTGTTACAGCTGACGGGAGAATGGACTCACCAGGTAAGTCTGAAGCCTTTCACTTTACAACATAGTTATTGTGTATTACTTTGTGTTTCACCATATTTGATTCAACAAGGTCATTCTGCAACGTTTTGCACATACACAACGATGGAACTTGACACAATGGACATTATCAGTGTTGTCAATGTTGATAAAAGGCAAGTTGGTGGAAAAAGTGTCTCTATGGAGAAGGCAGCGTTCATCAAACCATTTGATGATCTCACGAAAGAATTAAAAGTCAAAGAGATTGTGACTGACGCCCATGTGCAAATTGCAGCCCTCATGCGTAAGTATTTTTGTCTGTATTATTTGATGTGCTATATTTTGTGCTTACTGCATTTTTGAGCTTTATAATAGATCCAGAACGGGGAAGATATATGGATCATGGAGTTACCCATTCCCTGGATGTCTGGCATGCTGCAAAAAATCTAACTAAGAGGCTTCATGCTGTAAGTGATAGTTCATATCGTTTCTCATTCAATTATTTTTTATAGACATAACCAAAACTAATAACTTTGATATGCGGGTGTCCTAGCAGGTCAAAAACAAATCCTTGGGTGGATCAAGGACATTGTTAACCATTTTTGGTATGCCTGTCAGCATGCAAGCAGCCGAGAAGAGTTCATGGTAAGTAAAGTAGAACTAGAATTTATCTTCTCATTTTCACTATACCTTTTCAGTTTCTTATGTTTGCTTATTAGGACATTTGGCGAGGTGTACTGCACCATGTTAGTGGCGTGCATGAGTGGGACCTGGGTAGATGCCTTCATGGTCCTTTGGGGGATGATGGCACTAAAGAGCCTGTACCAACTGGCTCTAAAGCACATGTGGCACTGTCACAGATCGTGCTGAACCGCAGATGGCTGAAGGATGTGGAGAAGTTCCTCACATTTCGGTAAGAGATCAGTTTTTGTTTTTTTGAATGATTTGTGTTTCTTCTATTTCCTACTTACTTTCCCTGCAGGACCACCTCACAGCTGGAATCATTCCAAAACCATATTCTGATGTATGCCGGAAAGCGGTTTGCTTTTTCATTTTTTGTTTATGAAGCAAGAACACTTCTCGCAGCTTTGGACTACAATCACCACAACAGCCGTCCGGCACATGTGTACAGCAAAGGCCAAGTGTCGTAAGTATCATTCACTACTTCCTATTGACAAGTCATAAATATAGTTGTCTTCTAACGTGAAATTACTTATCTTGTAGCCTAAAGAGACTGTACAGCAAAAAATCGAAACGGTATCGGGTACACACTGTCAAAGAAGCAAAGGATTACAACTACATTCCTGACCTTCAGACACAAATCATTGGCAGACGACTTCAGTCTGCTGGTGGCCTCCCAACCAGACGGAGTATCAAACCGGAGGACCCACGAGCACTTTGACCAGTATATACACAAACGGTTGTTGGTGTTATCATCACTCTCTTTACACAACCAAAACATGGGGACTTCACAAACTGAATGCGCATTTCGCGCATGCGCAAAACGCAACGAAATACTTTGCCTCAAGTCGACGGTGCGGTCTGGAACGTGAAGAGAGGACTCTTTTGAATGTACGGTAAGTGTTAAGACACGTTGTTCATTGTTATAAAGGTATAAAGCTAAAGAAGTGTGTTAAGAACGAGTATACATTCGACTATATTATCTTATAAAACTTGTGTGTTCGACCAGCTCAGCGGTGAATGCAGTGACTGTGGCCGTGTTCAGAGCCGCTCTCCCGGAGGCCTGAGAGAGCTCTGTCCGGCCTCCGGGAGTTTACTGAGGACAGCGGTGAATGGAGCTGTTAGTAGCTAACTGTAGCCATGTTCAGAGCCATATTCCCGGCCCTAACTACGCGGGCCGCCGCCGCTAGGAAGCTAGGAATCACATATATATGTGATATATATATATCACATATATATGTGATATATATATCACATATATATGTGATTGCTCCGTGTGTGATAACTTTCTGTAAAGCATGGAACTGCTGCAGGAGCAGGGACGAGGCGCACAGAGCAGACTGCTTCGAAAGAACCGAAGGAAAAGCAGTTTGGGCTCATGGCAGAGCCTGATGTACAGGAGACTGTGGACTACAGTTCTGTGGAATATCTAACATATATCATTTGTTTTGCACTGTTCCTGTCTTTGTTTGAGCGCTAAGACTTTCACTTTTATTACTGTACTTTTTCATCTCATTTGTCACTGTTGTCTTTCTGTTCATTTTTTTTTTTTTTTTTATTAAGTCCATTGCTTAATAATGTTATTGAGTGAATCTAGACCTCCTTTAAACACATTTGAGCAAAAATCATGTGATATTGTTTTATATATATTGATTATTCTTTTTTTGCTTACAGCGTGTTGCAGTCCGACAACAAGAAATAGTCAATTCTGCCCCACCTGTGGAAAATGTCAAAGCGCGCTGGCCAGCACTTCATACAGAGAGACAGGTGTGTACATATTTTTTACATCTATGCATTTAACTTGAAGTGTTTTATGTTGTTTTTTTTGCAGGTCCTGGCAGAATTTAACCAGATCACCAGCTCCAAACTGGGCAATGATTTCGTTGAAGCATTGGATTGCCTAACGACACAGTTCATCAAGCTCTTTAAGGCCAAAAGGGGGACTGCTGGCGCTAAGCTTTCCAAGATTGTCCGGCACCTCGATTCCTTTGTAAGTTCATAAAGCAATAACAAAAAGAAATGACATATGATTGTGTTTGGTGTTGAAATGCACATATGTACAGCAGAGGAGATGGAGAAAGGAGAAAGGTACACAGCAAAAGAGGTACTGCTGCATTTTGTATCCTAAGATTTTTGGTACAATTGTAGATTGTCATTTTACATTTTCCACGTGTTTGTAGATGGTGGAACTGCAGGAAAACCCTGGTGACCGAGAGATCCTTAAAGATTATAATTCTGTGAGATCACTGTGAGATCTCCGCTCTCGAAGACAACTTGTCGACCTTCTCGTCAGTGACATGAGTGAAACACATGGGTATGTTGTGTCCCTCAGTTATTACTCAAAAGTTCCTTCTTACAAGTGGAAGGATATTTACTCAAAATAAAATGAAAATCACTTGAAAGACCTTTCACAATAATCACATAACAATTCAGTTTCTCTCAGCACTGTTATTGATTCCCCATTGTAAGATAAATAGTACTGATCTCTTTTATAAATGACCTAGGTAGATGTTCTCCTGTAGATTATCTCTTGGTTTGGTCCCCGTGAAAATATGTACTTGTAGATACTATTAATTTAGCCTTTTTATGTAACCATGAAGTCCTTTGACCATGAGTGTTTTTCTTTCCTTAGACAAATGCCTTCCCGAAAACAAAAAGAAAGCTATGCTCTTAGAATTATCACACTTTTTTCTTCATTGAAGGATCCATTTTCTCAAAAAGGTTATGTAAGTATTGTTAATGTATCCATGGAAATTGAATTTGGTTTACCTACACGTTTTGTGTCGGTAATGGATATGTATAGATACCAATCATAACTGTACACTTTGTTTTCAGACTAATCTCGCCTCGTAATGAGACGGTGACCTCCTATTTGCTTAACACAATATCTGCAATACAATGTGAACAATAAGTCCACATTTCCACGATGTTGATAAAGACGACATTGTGTGTAAGTGTTTTACTGTTTCCTCCCTTTAACCTGGTTTTAAACATTGTCAGAGAGGAGCTGTCACTTTAGCTGTGCTACAACTGAGGTATTTTATATTTATCTTTGTTAATGTACTGGGATTATTTATTTTAATGCTTTCTTATTTTGCTCAGCACTTCGAGTTGCATAGTGTATGAATTGTGCTAGACAAATAAACTTGCCTTACCATCGTACTTCCTGGTTCTGGTCAGGACTTGAGCTGCTGCATTTTGAATGTACTGCAGCTGTTGTTACAGTAGTCTAACCTACTGGAGACAAATGCATGGATAAGAATCTCCAGGTCTGCTTTAGACACTATGTTTAGATGGGGAAAAAGGATTTGATTTGGCTAATAATATTTACTGATTCTTTCAGCCGCTGGAATCGAGACTGAGTGTGCTAGAAAGTGACAAAGTGGAACTCTGGAAGTCCGCCACGGTAGACCTAATGTCCAATGAAGAAGAAGGCGTTGTGGACGGTGTCTCTGGATGGATTGTGCGGTCGCAGTCTTTTCGAAAGCCGGAGTTTTCTGAACTCTGTCAAGCTGCAGTCCCGGTTAGAGGTGGCGCGGAAGTACAGAGCCACGCACATTAAGCGTCTATCTAGAACCCTGCCAAATTACAACCCCGAGGAGGCTATTGGACAGTTCAGAGTTGTAATTTTTTAATTACCTATGTGTGAGCATAAAGCTGTGTGTGTGTGTGTGTGTTTTTTAATAAAGCTTTCTTTGTATGAACATATTCCTGGAAAATTTTCATTTCTATAAATAATACGAATATTTATATAAATATTATTACATTAATTATGAGGCAGGGTGACCAATAGTGACAGATCTGCTAGCCAATCACGAGAGATTATACTTATTTGAAAGTAGTGATTTCATCCAATGGGGAGTAAGCTACCAATGGGGAGTAATCCCACGTGGGCTGGCCACGTGTGATTTTTCAGCCAATCACGAGTTTGAAAGTAGTGGTATTCACCAATGCTGAATAGCAGCCTGGCCAGCCGCTGCATTCATATGCTAATTAGGGCCATTAGCGCTCGGCGGTCGCAGTGTTTCGCTGCATTCATATGCAAAGTAGGGACATTAGCATGGTACGGATACGGCAGTTTGGAGGACAGGGCACCCTAACTGCGCCTTCTGAAAACTGCCTGAGATACCCGAAAAAGAGCGTGATTTCCTGCAGTTTAGGGTGACGAAAATCTAACTTTTCATGCAGTGTAATTTAACTACAATGAATTTAATCTGGAAATGTAAATACAAAAGCCAAAAAAGGACACAAAAGTTATTTTTATAATAACCATGTTCCAGTCTTATCACAGTATGATGTCTTCACAGTCCATTCCATACTCTCCAATGAGTGGTACATAGTTGTACATACGTATAAGAAAGGACAGACACCTAACCGTCACTCCTGAGTCAGAAGAAGGGCATTTCAGCTAATACTACACCAACAAAGGATAGTGCTCAAGTGTACCACACAAGTGCAATATGCATTGTGGGACTTTGATCCTAGACCAAATAACACGTTTTGAGTGTGAGCCAGCGGTCCTTGTAACAGGCCACAACACAAGTATATTAAACAGCCTCATTAGGACCAAGATTACATGGAGAATGTAAATACAACTGCTACCTGGGGATATGCTCCGGTGATCCAAGATGGCGCCCTATTCAAATGAATTCAGTAGCGCATGGTACTTCACAGGGATCGAGAGATTAGCACAACTCTCCTATATTTGGGCATCGTCTGGTCCTCCCGGTTCTGCGCAGTGGACGAGCTCCCATGATGCGTTGCGCCAAATATGCGTGTGTGGCTCTCACGCACGTGCACAGAGGAGCTCAGCCGCGCTTTGACCGATCAGAGCTGCTCATCAGAGCAGCGGCAGAGGAAACGAGCAAAGTTTGTGGCACTAACGTGTGGATTTAAAGAAAACCGAAGGATTTAAGAAGAAAATAAGATCAGGATGACAAGGGATACTAAAATCCCCACAAAATCCGATCTTTATGAAAACTGTAGGTTCTCTGTCAGCTGAGGTCGAGCTGTTTTAATTTACATTGAGTTCTATGGGACTTTTTCCGGTAGCCCTCTTGAATTTAGTCTGCAGTACTACTGGCGCCCCCTGTGCCCATGGGTGGGACAGCTTTAAGCTAGTAATACCCTATCCAGTTTATTATTATAGTATTTAGTTTTATAATAGATCCATGCCTGAGGAGCACAGAATGGTGAGGGGGAGAGGGTTGGGGGGACTCCCTTGAAAAAGAGGTTCTTTATCTCAAATCTCAATGGGACATTCCTAAAGTTAAATTAAGACCAAGCAAATCTAAAGAAGTGCTTGTATTACATGTAACTGACAGCTACAGTGATTTGTCTGTTTGGCGGCTTATTTAGTATTTTCATCAACCTAAACTGTCAAAGTATGTCAAAAAAAAAAACTTAATTCAAGCATTTGTAGATATTTACTTTTTGTTGGAATGAAACTTCTTTTTAATTACATTTTTAAACATACATTGAAAACCACATCTCAATGTTGGTGATAGCAGCCCTACAACAAATGACTATCCTCAGGGCATGTTTTTATTGTAATATTTTCTGAACACTGCAACGGGGAAGCTTGTCTTTGACACAAAACAGAACTACTAATAAGAAACAAGAACTACAAATATAAAGAAATATTGATACAATAAATTTAACCTCATTATATACAGGAGAATGACAAGTAGAAGAAACGCACAGATTCAATTGTTATAAAACCCAGCACACCAAATGAATAATAATTTACTTGATATATACTGTACATAATAACGTGCATAACTCAAATTAATTCAGCCGGTAGCGGTGAATGGAAATCTCTTTGCATAGCTTTTATTCCCATCATTTCAAATATAAAAGAGATGGATTTAATCAAAAGTATGTATTCATGAGCTCCAGGACAATGGCTGCCTCACCTTTTCATACCCCTCCCCTCACTGTATCTATAAAACATCTCCCCTGCACCAAAATGACATCTGATAGAAGAAATTGTATTATTTTCAGGTGACAATGATTTGCTGCTTGCCATAGTCACACTCCCTCTTTCAGGCAAATGTGCTCACGTCAAACTGTACACGCGTGTTAAACTCCAGTATTCCAAAAGGCAACGTGTGAATCCTTTTTGATGATAAAGTGCACAACAGTCTCCCCTCACATTAGTGCTGAGGAGCTGATGAAACAGTGTTAATCTGATTGCAGTGGAGCTGTTAATAATCACATTGTACTCACAGTTATTAAATGAGAATGTTGAAGTGCATGTGTTATTGAAGCAGGTGAAATTCGATTATAATGGCTTCTCATGCAACGAACGGTAAAGTAATAGAAATATTTCAGGAGTAAAGTTTTCTTACAAATAACCTTATTTTGTGTGGGGAATACGTGTGGGGAATTCTACAATTATGTAGGGTCTATTTCAAAAGTAGGCTATGAGTTATCAGCATTTAATGTAAGCTATGTATTATTAATAAATGTAATGGGCAAAACATATCAAACAGAAAATAAACTTGGGAACTTGAAAAAATAAAAACCTGCACCATATCAGAGCTATATTATGGCCTATATTGGTTGACCAATATTATATTGGTATTGTGCTTACGCTTTTAAAACTGACTGGAGCCAATTGTTTTGCACCCATTTGCCAACAAAGCCAAAGCTGAATGTAACATACCCATGGGTGACCCCTGAGCTTAAAGCCCTCCTGAACCTCAAGAAAAGGGCTGTCATCTCAGGGGACAAAGAGGAGCAGAAGAGGATCCAGCACGAGCTCCAGTGGATGATCAGGAGGGCCAAGAAAAACTATGGGAAAAAGCTGGAGCAGAAACTGGCACAGGGAAACGCCCGTGACGTGTGGAGAGGCCTAAAGAACATCTCCGGATTTGGACAGAGTGCCAGAGGGACTGCGGATGGAGACCAGCGCCGGACGGATGAATTTAACCAATAATTTCAACTGGTTTTATTCCCTCCCCCTCTCCATCTGCCCCCCTTCCCGCCCCCACCTCTTCACACGTTTCTAGCCCAGTGGACACTGCCTTCGGCTGCCCCCCCACTCCCCCCTCTCCATCACACCAGACCAGGTGAGGAGTCAGCTCAAGCAACTGAAGCAGAGGAAATCTGCAGGACTAGACGGGATCAGTCCCAGGCTGCTGAGGACCCTTTGCAGACCAGCTCTCTGAGGTCCCCACCTACATCTACAACCTGAGCCTCAGCCCTGTCCTGTGGAAGACCCCCTGTGTGATCCCGGTTCCTAAAATAGCGTACGCCAAGGAACCGGCTCACTACAGACCAGTCGCACTGACCTCCCACCTGATGAAGACCATGGAGCGGCTCATCCTCACCCATCTCGGCTCCGGGGTCAGCCCCACCCTGGACCCGCTGCAGTTCGCCTCCATGCCCAACATCGGAGAAGAGGACGCCGTCATCTACTTACTGCAGCGAACGTTCTCCCACCTGAAGCCTGCCGGGAGCGCTGTGAGGGTAATGTTTTTTTACTTCTCCAGCACTTTCAACACCATCAGACCGGCACTGCTGTGGGGGAAGATGGAGGACACGGGAGTGGACAGTCCCCTCACTGCATGGACCATCGACTACCTCTCAGACCCCACACAGTACGTGCGGCTGCGCAGCTGTGAGTCTGAGGTGGTAGTCTGCAGCACTGGGGCCCCTCAGGGCACTGTCCTCTCACCGTTTCTCTTCACCATCTACACTTCAGACTTCACATACGACACACACAGCTGCCACCTGCAGAAGTTCTCCGACAACTCCGCCATCATGGGCTGTGTGTCTGAGGGGAACGAATTGGAATACCGGATTTCATGGACTTTGTCGACTGGTGTGAGCGCAACCACTTGTGCTTG